TGGAGACAGCAGAATAGAAGAGAAAGAACTGGGAAAAAAATCACAAAATACAAAGACCTGCAAATAGAAATAGAACGACTATGGCAAAAGAAAGCAATGATAGTACCAATAGTAATAGATGCCTTGGGTGCAATTCCAAAACATCTGGAGTACCACTTGAAAGCCATCAGCATTGGCAAAATCACCATCAGTCAATTGCAAAAGGCAGCTTTACTTGGAACAGCTTATATCCTGTGACGATACCTTTAACGCCATCAAGTAATAGATGCCTTGGGTGCAATTCCAAAACATCTGGAGTACCACTTGAAAGCCATCAGCATTGGCAAAATCACCATCAGTCAATTGCAAAAGGCAGCTTTACTTGGAACAGCTTATATCCTGTGACGATACCTTTAACGCCATCAAACACCAACACCTGCCTATCCCAGGTCCTTGGGAAGGCCTCGATAGGTGGATAAAAATGCCAAATCCAGTTTAAACATTTGGCTGACTGTGCGACTAACCATGATAATATATTAAATTTATATGCTGCCCATTCTGAGCAGAAGCGTGATGAAATAACAGAAATAATGTATTGATCCTGTCCTTCCTCCCTCCAATTACTAGTTTCTTTTCTATTTCTTGATGTCAGCGGAGGAATTATATCTAAAAATACTGCAAAGAGCGGATACCGGTGTGTTTTTATTTGCATACCGCGCTAGTTGTTACTTCTCCCTTTGTACTCTCGCCACCCTCACAGGAAGGGTTCAACAAATGGCGATTGAATACCCGACGTACATTGTCACGGAATGGAAAACAAGCCCCTTAGCGCTTCCGCCGGGTCATGTGATCCAAGCCCCGCTCACTGCCGGTTTCCTTTGCCTGCTGCTCTCGCGAGCGTTCGGTTCCGTCGTGCGGTCTGTGTGCGTCGTCGCTAGGAGCCGCAGGAAGACAGCGCGCGCAGTTTTCGTGAGGCCTGCCGGGAGTGAGAGAAGCCCTCTGCGTGCGAAGCCAAGGTGAGAGGCCTGCCCTTTTCTTGATAGCTTCCCCAGTTTTGGCGCAGAAGGAACGGGATGAGGGAAGTCTACCTCTGAACCTTCCTTAGAGCGGGAGTCGTCTTTGTTCTTCCCCGGCTCTCAGGCCTTTCCTGGTCCTGCTCTTTTTCTCCCCGGGTTCTTCGTTGGTTGATGCATTCTCTCTTCTGCCTGGGCCCACTCGTTTGTCTCCCTTCCGTGACGGCTGGGTCTCAGTTTAGTTCAGGAGTAATAATATCCCAGGGTCAGAAGCTTCCTAGCCTGTCTTATTTTTTAGGTTTCTGGAGAATAGAGTTCTTTCATCCATCCTCAGTCCCTTCCCCATATTAGCAGTTCCTCCAAGGCTTCACTTATTCCCCGAAGAATGTCTTTGGTTCTCCCCCTCGTATTCTTTATTTCTTTCTCATCATTATGTTCTTAGTGAAATTTTTGTTGTTACAGCTCCTAATTTCTAAACATTTTTTTGCTTTGTTATATAATTTTGCAACTGGCTGTATTAGAAATAATGAGGGACCTTTAATGTACTATTTTGCGGAAAGGAAGTCATGTTTGGTTTCTGGGGAATAAGCATTCAGGCATATAAAGTTTAGAACTGGTGCATTATTTTTTGCCCTCTTCCCTAGAAAAAGTAGTGGTAATCCTAGCCTACATAACTGCAGTTTTATGTGTTTCAGAAACTAATAGCAGGATTATTATAAGACCAAATTCATGTTATCAGAATTGTATAGTTATTTTTTTCACAGGTGAGTCCCCTTTGATATCATTAGTATTACACTTAACTATGTAATCACACTTTCAGGATTAATTATGCTGCCTCTGTTATCAGTACATAATACTATTTAGCTTGGCTTTTATTGATTTTCTACCTATAGTGATTTCTAAATTTGATCTCTGTTATTAATATAAAGACTGCTGCATTTTTATGTTAACTTACAAAAGATTAATGAATTTGGATTTCTACTGGGTTTTATGTTTTCGAAGTGGGCAGTGCTTTTCAAAACTGGTGTCTTAGTCCCCATAGCTAGTAGAATGTTTTCTTGAAAATTAAACATTCCTGGAGAAGTGTTGTTAATGCCAGCTATCATATCTTTTACTTGCCAGCAACATCTGGAAAGCATAGGTTTCCTCTGCTTGGGCAGTAGGGTTTCTGCGGATTGCACAAAACGCAAAGGTTTCCTACTTCTGAAGTACTTGCTGGAAATTTAACATTGGAGAGGGGAAGTAAAAAGCTCTAGTGTTGTTCATTAATGATCTCTTACTGTATCTTTGACAAATTTACTATTCACTCAATTTTTAATAATGAAAAGGAGACAATCCAGTGTCTGTCTAAACTTGGGATAGGTAGCTTTATCTCTCCAGAGGCTTTGTATTAGAACTTCTATAACATCTACCATTGGTATGTGACATCAGAGAAATTATCTAAAATGTATAAAGGTACTTCTAATCAGTGTTGGAAATGTGGAAAACATGAAGTGTTATTTTGCCATGCATAGTGGACTTGTGAAAGAGCAAAAAAAATACTGGATACAAATACATATAATGATGCAAAGAATAGTAAAGATTAGCATTCAAATGAAATCAGAACTTTCTTATTGGGATTTAAGGATAGCCAATTAGAAAAGACTTATGGCAGATTGGTTTTATGCATGGTAACTGCAGTGAGATTATTATATGCACAAAGGTGGAAAAATATTGAAATACCTACAATGGGGAAATGGATCATCAAGATGATGGAATTAGCAGAAATGGCAAAATTGACCTGTTTGATCAGGGATAAGACAATAAGTATTTTTGTTAAAGACTGGAAACCTTTTGTGGACTTTTTTGCTGAAAACAGAAAAAAAATGAACTGGTGATTTATGGATATCCTGATCAAAAAGGTTTGAATATGGGAAGAAGGGAAGTATGTTGTAACCTTATAGGGGGAGGAAAAGTAATGTTAGTAACTGCTGCAAAGAAGATTAGAAGTAGCTTCTTTATATATCTTTTCTTTTTCCTTTACTTGCACTACTTTTCACACCTTTTTTACCTTTTTTCTTCTTACTTTTACTTCATATTGTTTATATTTTATTCCTATGTAAACCTTTGATAGAAATAATTAATAATAATAATAATAATAATCCTCCTCCTCCTCCTCCTCCTCCTCCACACCTAACCATTGGCCATACTTCTAGGAAATTTTGATAAATGTAGTCTAAAACATTCGGAGAATATCATGTGGTAGCTTGTGTTATTTGAAGTACATCCATTGAAAAATTCTATTCTGCTCAATAGTGATCGTATACTTTACTGTTCCCTTTTGTGAAAGTTTCTATAAATCTTAAAAATGATAACCTAGCAAGCAGCACTGTTTTGATTTCTAGGCAGAATATCTTCATGTATGTATAAATTTTTTTACAGACCCACAAATTGATAGCAGAAAGGTGATTCTAGGTTTTGTTTTTGTTGCTATTACCAGAATTGAAAGAGGGAGTTTAGTGACTCCCTTGTAGCATATTAAAACTCTACTGTCTCTCAAATCTAAGGCCTTATAAAAAATTGAGTCTAATTAATCTACAGGGGGCTTTTTCTAATACACTCTGAAACAGAAATGTCTGCTTTACCTATACTGTATTTTTTTCTCTTAAATGTTACTTAATTTTTGAAGATAAGTTTGCACATCAAACCTTTTGAGCACTTCTATGGTGCTAATAGAAATATTTTATTATTTCTGCTGGGATTTTTAATATTGACATATATTTATTGATCTGGTTTGAATGAAAGATGGGCAAGTCAAACATTCACCACGTCAGTTCTGCACCTTTTTTTAATGTGATGTAATGCTAACAAATCATCGCCAAAACATTGATAGTAAAGGGGCTGCCTTATATCTTTATTAATGCAATCTGTATGGGACTGCATTTGTAAACCTCAGCTGTGAGATAATATGACTGCTGGTTTGTTTTTCAAAATAATTCAGTATGGTAGTTTTCATTTCTTTCGTATGTAAGCTTGTGCAGTCATTAATATTTTTTATACTTTCTCTGTTGATTTACATGAAACATATCTTTGAAAGTGCAATGTAAGACCTACTGCGTACAGGTCTTCTTGAACTTTAAGAAGCTACTCAAGACATTTATATTTTCTTGCTTTAACTGATTATGTAGTTTGCTGCTGTTACCTTAACTATATTGATTGATATTTTTCACTGTTGTGTAAAATGTTTATAGTTGTTTGAGTTGCCTTAAGTATAGGCTGATGAGGTAATACAAAGAATATGCCCAAGAATGTTAGGTTCATTAACAGTCTTTTCAAATGTTAATTTTGATAGTGGAGATTGAGATAATTAGAGTAAAAGAAATGTATACCTATGATCAAAAAGAAAAAAAAACTGTTTTAATCATGTCCAGTTGTAGTTCAGATATCAACATGCTGAGATTGAGATAAGTAACCTCACAATAATATATAAATGTAACATTATTGTTTCAGGATTACTTTGTTGATGTTTGCATTTTACTAACTATGAAGTTTTATAGTATTCAGCCTAATAATCTACCTTTCATTTTATCTTATGATCTGAAACTCAGCAGAACAAGAGCCTTGAAATAGAATTCTTAATAAATGAATAAGCTAGCCATTTAAATTGTATGTACAATTAATTTGGTTTATGTTATAGCTTCTTTTTCTTCTTGTAGATGTCAGAAGACCTTGCAAAACAATTAGCTAGTTATAAAGCTCAGCTACAGCAAGTTGAAGCTGCTTTGACAGGAAATGGAGATAATGAAGATTTATTAAAACTCAAGAAAGATTTACAGGTGAGAATAGAGAAGAAATAACTTTGCTAATTGAATGTTTCCTATGTAGTGGAGAGGATTTTCTGCAGAGTTATGTGTGACTGCCTCTGAATATCATCTGCTAGGAGACTAGTGGGCTTCCTTGTGAAGTTGGTTAGCCACTGTAAGAACAAACTACTGGACTAGATGATCCAGGGGTCCAATCCAGCAGGGAACTGCTTATGTTCTTATGTTTGCCATAGTATTACCTTAATCAGTATGTGCTCCAAGATAATATTAAGGCTTAATTAATTAAGGCTTAATTAATTAAATATAAAATAGTAAATATTGATATATTAATATATTAGTATGTAAATATTAATAAGAACTTTTCCTTATGGATTAAAATAGTTTCATAAGAACTAGGGCTGTTGTCTGCTTAAAGAGATCTTAATTGCATAAGTATGCTCATAAATAAAAATACTCTGAAGCCTGGTTTAGCATATGTATATTATAGAAGGTATCATTTTTTAAAAAGTCATTTTCTCCTGGGTAAGAGCAAATTGAAAATGCCTTTTAAGCTAGTACTTGCCATTTTTCTGATTTGATGTGTTTTTAATGAGTCATTTTTCACACAGTATGTTGTGTGTTAAAATAGCCCCAGTTGTACTATCCTACAATAGTCAGTTAAGTGGGGACTGTTTAATGTGTGATGTGTTCATTGAGGGAAAATATACTCAAGTGGTAATGATTCTGAAACCATAGGTTTTGTGAGTTCTTTGCAAATTGCCTCCTTTAAAATCCTCTGTAGCTTTCAGTTCAAAGATGACTAATATTTGAATTAATTATACTTAGCTCAACTTCAGTGTGCATAAAAACACTATAGGGTGAGAGTCACAAGAGAGTAAAATTTTATAAAGCTTAGGTGAGAAATAGTGAAGACAAAATCATGTAAAGGTTTTTCCCTGAAGTTTGTACTTTCTTGGCTTGTGTCCATTTTTGCACACTCGTAACTATTCCTGGTTTTTTCTTTTATTGGGTCAGATTTAGTCAATATTTCGAGAAATGGCTGTTTGACCTTTAATTTTTTTTTAATGATCATGAATTAATTACTTCATTGCACTATAGCCTTCTCCAACTTGTTATCTTCTAGGAAAAAAGTACACAAATCTTTGATACTCTTCACCCCATAAAATAGTAACATGAATCTCTGTAATCCCTGCATGAATAAAACTAATGATTTCAGTGCAGTTAAGGCTGGGCAAAATATACAACTTCTAATAATTACAGTTTAATCCATATAACAAATAAAACAACTTTTTCAAGTGAAACCATTGCATTGGAATTAAACAAACAGACCCAATAAAATTTAAAGCTTTATTTTTGATGAGAAGGGCGACTTTCTTTTTCATAATTGGTAAAATCTGGGTTTCTTTTCGAAGGCAGTCACTCTAACTCTCAAAATTTGGGGAAAGGAAGAAAGAAATAGGCATTTTCTTGCCTGAAATCAGTTTCTGTTATACTGCTGTTATTAATTTACAACTTGCAGAATGCCAGCAGATTGTAAGTTTCTTTTGATAGTCTCTCCCAACACAGTGACAGTGAGATAAGTCCAAGCATGACTTTTCCCTTCTAGATCAGTGCTTGTAGATGCATAGAAGCCTTGCGTCTTCAATCTTGGTCAATCCTTCTTTGAAAAAATCAAATGCAGTGGGTCATTCGTAGCTTTTTGGTTGTAACCCACACTTTAAGAAACACTGGTCTAGATGTGGTAGCCTCAACATAGCTGCAAGCCACTAGTTGTGAAAAGGTTATGATGTGTACAAATAGAGAATTGTGATGATCTGATATAAATGCAGATACAATAGGACTTTATAGACGTTCTATTTAAAACTCTGTTTTAAAACTTTTGTTATATGGATTATAAACCTTTGTATATATTTAAATTAAAATAATTATGTGGTAATTTTGACAGCTCTTAGATTTTTAAATTTCCATTTTTTCAGCCTTGCAGCATTACTAAAAGTTGATTATGCAGAGAGCTATGCAGTCCAGAATACTCTGTGGCTAACATGGTTGGTGTCATAATAGAGATTGGGTTCACTTGAAAATTTTCAAATGTTTTCAAAATCCTGAATTTAAAGTTCAGTTATCCCTGCTTTATCAAAGCACAAAATCTGGAAATCCCAGTAATTTTACCTATTTCATTGAAGTATTTTTTTGCATATATTAAAATTATATTTTGCTGCTTCCTAGAATATACATATATTCTGAGCCAGTAATTATTTTTAATTAAAAAAAGGTTAAATCAACACACAAGATATTTCTCTGCCACAGTATTTCTTATTCTGCTTCTGTTATATTAGCTGAAATATAATGATATGAATACAGTATGAGATATTTATACATGATTATTCATATATGATACAAATATAGTATAAGATATTTACTAAGAAAATAGACATTCAGGAAAGGCTAGGGTATGTAATGCTTCAGATTCAACTCTAAAAAGACACTTAAAGGTTTGCAGAGACATGAGTGTAGCACCAATCTGGAATTAATTAAAACAGCCAAAACAACCAATAATCCTGGGATTATGCAGCAGTTGAGAAGGCAACCATACTTTCCTGGTAAGAGATCAGCTTCTTTAAAGAGCAGCAGACAAATGCTGTATTTGCCATCCTATCCACTTTGGAGCACCTTTTAGGGGTTGACTTTGAAATATTGCATTATAAATGAAGTTTATGTGTTTTTTAGTCTGTTACTGCATATAATATCAGCACAGTTGGTAAATTCAGAAATTGGGAGAGGAAGAGATACTTAATGTTTAAAGACTTGCTTTTTTTCTCCCATCAGGAAGTTATAGAATTAACTAAAGACCTCCTTTCAACACAACCTTCAGAAACTCTTGCAAATTCTGATAGTTCTGCTTCTGCCCTCCCCAGTCACACTTGGAAAGTTGGAGACAGATGTATGGCAATATGGAGTGAAGATGGACAGTAAGTGTAGAAAACAAACTTCTGTAACAGTTACATGAATTAATACAATTTCATGGTAAGATACTTCCCTTTGGTTTATATTCTTCCCACCTCCATCATGGTAAACACCAGCTTGGCAAAAATAGTAACGTAAGTTAATTAGTCCTGGTGTCTTTTGAAGTATAATTTCCATTATCAGCCAACCAGCAAGGTGTGGAGAATACCAAGATGAGGATGGCTAATTAAAGGGAGTTTAGGTATAAATACATGCCTTAAAACAAACAAAATGTTATTTGGGAATGTATAGTGTTAGTAAGTAGTTCCAGTTTTGTTTAGTCTATAGAATGTAGTATGATCTCTAATATTTTTTAAAATTTGGAATACAGTAACCAAAATGGGATGATAACACCTTTCATCACTAATTTAGGGGGAAATGCCAAGCATATTATTTGGGAAAATTGGAGCCCTAGGACTACAGTAATGCATGTCAGAAGGAAAGAAGTACAGCAAAAGCAGGAATGTGCTATTTATACCTATCTTTCTTTCTTTGTAACAAACATATTTTTAAAAGGTGAGAGGATTGGGCTCAGAAATGGCAAATTGGTTTGTTTACTGTTACTTTCACATAGAATGCTGCTACTTTGTGGGAACATTGGTTAATTGTCCTCTCCCTCAGTGGTCCTCTTCCTGTGTTGCTTTGGAGGCATTAGGACTCAGTCCTCCTGCTGTTCCCAAAACTCCTATTGTACAGAGCAAACTAACTTGGAGGCATAAAACCAAATATTCTCTGACACCAGTACTTCTTTCCTCCAAAATAGTTAGGGAAGGGAATACTGCAGCCTGAGAATACCCTATTACAATCCTAAACTCATCTTATGCTGGCATAGCAAAAAGCAAGGCCTTGATACATGAGCTTAATGCTAATATTTCTGAGCTGCTTTTTTTAGTAGCATATGGAATTCTTCCATCTGAAGGAAATTGCTGTTTTTCTGCAACAATAAAAATTCTGTTATGTGTTAGCTTCCATTTTTGTTACTTAGATCCCTGTGATGCTAAATACAGTTCCATTAGAATTGTTCAGTTTCGTGTGGCCACTGACAGCATAGACAACATTTGCAGTTTCCAAGAGCTGCAGAGAGTTGAGTGTCATATGTCTCCCTAGTGTGTTGGACCACATCTTTTAGCCCTTTTTGAGAGGGCTTAGTGGAATAGGAGAGAAAAACTGGTGCCTTTAGCTTTGCTTAATTCAGAATGAGGAGAATGGCTTGATTGGGAGCAGCCAAGGTTTTTCAGGGGCTGAAATGGGTACCTGAATTTACTGGAAGCTAAAGGGTCCCATTTTGGCCATGAGAAATCCTGCAACCTTCCATCAACCAAGATCAAGAGACTTGAGACCGTCCAATCTCGGGGTACTCTGAGAGCAGCAAAATTGGTATTAGGGAATCAGTATGTAGCCCAGAGGCTATGAATTGTGCACTTACAGAACATGTATATGTTTTTATATTGTCTGACTTTTTAACTAATGTGGCTATTTATATTTTTAATTTTTTTCGAGTTTTACTCTGTGAGCCTCCCAGAGTCACCCTCTGGTTTTATTTATTTATAATAAATTATTTATTTATAATAAATAAATAAATATTAAATGTATGTATTTTAATTTATGTGTGATAATTATACCTGGTTATTTTGAGTCTCAGGATTGAAAAAAAAACCTGGATAACCATATTTTAAGCTGCATTATTGCCACTCATAGGCCACTATTTTTGTCATGATTTTCTTAAGTATGTTCTTTCAATATTGGTCATTCTTTCCTTATTTTTAGGAAGAGATTATATGGCATTGGGGTAGTTGTCAATTTACAGTTAACAGTGCAGTCATATACATACCTCCTCAGAAGTAAATCCCATTTAATTCAATAGAATTTACTCTTAAGTAAGTGGCTATAGAATAACGTGAGTTACTCATGTTGGGAAAGTAAGTGAAAATAAATGTCATAAAATAATTCTCAGGATTCAATTAATTACATTGTGAATTCCAATTCAGAGTTAAGCAGAAATATCTTGAAATGTAATTTAATCACTGCAAGTTTAAGTTTTGCAGGGTTGAGTCTTAAACCTTTACTCACATGCTTACAGCCATGATATCTTTACAGGTGTTATGAAGCTGAAATTGAAGAGATAGATGAAGAGAATGGTACAGCTGCAGTCACTTTCTCAGGATACGGTAATGCTGAAGTCACGCCTCTGCTCAATTTGAAACCTGTGGAAGAGGGAAGAAAAGCAAAGGAAGATAGTGGCAACAAGCCTATGTCCAAGTAAGTGGTGGAAATTGTTTTCATTGTTTAGTGTGTTGTACCAGTATAAAAAAGTGCTGTAATTGAAATGTCATTGCTAATGGGTTTTCTCATTCAAAGATTGTAAATAGATAGGGATGACATGTTGAAGGCACATATTTTTAAAAAAGAAGTGAATCCAAACCCATGTGGCTGCTCAGGGTATGTATCAGACTCTGCTGAGTCTTGAATAATTAATCAAAGCAGGGTAATTTGGACTGACTTTATGGCTGCATGAGGCAAAGCAGAATCCCTATGGAGCACCTTCAAGTGAACAGGGAAAGTTTGTGAATGATTTATTTGTAGCACTGCAAAAAAGGCTGCATTGTTTCCATGTCTTTGTAATATGCCAGAAAGGGAGAGAGAGAGAGTGGAGAAAATGACAGGTTTATCTTCTAATCATAGGACTCAGTTCATCTGTTACAACTCATTTTCTCCCTGGAACTATGACACTATGGAGACACTGCCCTGTGCAGTGTGCTGCCAGTTACATCATTATGTAACGTGAATGGTGTAGTTAGTGCTGTTCTTCATATCACCTTCTCTATTCTGCCATGGTATCAGGTAGGCATTGAGACCTGTTGAAGCCCTGCCTTTTGAAGCTTGTTGCAGCAATCTCAAGCAAACTTGTAAAAACTATACAGTTGTCGCCCAGTGCAATGCATTAATCTTCTCCAAAGAGCCATGAGGTTTCCTCTTACAAAACTCCACTTGTAGACCACTGGTTCCTGATGTAGGAATCCATTGATTTTGTCAAGGATTGAGTGGGGACTGGGAAGAAAAGCCTTATTGTTTTCACCGTCACCACCACCTTCCTTTTGTAAAGATTCCTTTTTTATCAAATACTCTAACCCAAATCCAATTTGGCAAGATTTAATCACATAATAAGGCACTATAGCTTCAAATATCTTTTTTTTCAAATTTATTAA